TGTGAAATATTCTTCATTAAAGTCATTCGGCTGCCCCAAGCAAGATGGCGGCCTCAGCCTCACACGTCAATCACGTGAGAAGACAAAAGCGGCGGCGTGGAAAACTGCGAGGGATAAGGGGGCGTGGTTTCCCATTCATTCACACCTGCCAATCAGCTCCCAGGTTTGGGAAAAGGAGGTGGGGCTGTAACTCGGCGAGGCTTGACCTGCAATAGAAGGGAGGCGCATGCGCACTGAGTGCTCCACTGCGGCTAAGAGAGAGCACGTGACTCAGCGGGCTGCATCAAGGCAGGTGGAATTGTTCTTCGTACGATAAATACCGCTGTGTGCACGGAGGAGTAAAGCTCCACTGAATATGAATTAGTGGACACTTTACCTCCTTTCAGCAGAGCTTTGTCACAAAATAGAATAGTTATAGAAGTTTCTGTTGACCTGTTCCTGCCTGTCTGAGCCCACCGTTCACACTTGGGTAGCGCGTACATGCGAAAAACATGCGTTACCATTCATTGGTAATGGCACCCCCAATTGCACCGAGCAAATGTCTTGCACATGCAAAAAATACGCAAAGCTCCAAAAGGTGCATAAGCTTCTTTGCTGGGCGTAGGGGTGCCCATGAAAATGAATGGGATGCCCTATACAATACCCGACAATGCACCGTGCAAGATCGGGAGGCGCAAGTGTAGATGGTGGATAAGACTGACGGGACCATAGTGGCTCAGGCCCACATCAAGCCAGCGATTTGGTTCATGGCGGCAAGTCTGCTCCTATGGTGTCGCCCCCTTGCAGTCCACATCTCTGCAGATTCTGTCATTACTCCAGCCAGGGAGCCACTGTGCATTGATTTGCGCATCAAGGGAGCATTGCTGTAGGAGCAACAGTACTCCATGCTGTGGGCACGTACTGTGTGTCCGATCAAATGCGGCCAGAACTGCCATCCCTGCGTCCAGGGCCAGTCTGGTCAGAGCTCTTTATGTTATGTAAATGCTCATATGAGCGGTTACATGTGAACAATGGCGGCCCCTTGTACGTTGCGTGACACCCATGTGCATGGGCCCATTCGCACCACAGCACTGCAGTAATGGGCGTTGGTGCAATGCGGCGCCAAACCCCTACGCACCTTGTCAGTGGTCCTGCAGTGAGCTGCCCGAATGTTACAGGTGTTTTGCCAATGCAGCTCAATGGTGTAAATGGGCCAATAGGGGTCCTGCGGCTCTACGACTGCTTAGACTGGTGTTGTGCCCTGTGCAAAATAATGAGACATATACAGCTCCCAGAAAATCCAAACAGCAGTGCATGAGTAACTCGTCCTTGAACGGCCCTTACACATCTCAGCTCTTAGCAACCTGGGACGATCTGGCCGTAAAGCAGGCGGCAGGCAAACGTGTGCAGCAGAGCAGCCATGCCGCTCTGCTCGTAGAGATGCTACCTCGGGCAGCAGCCTGGTGCCGCCTCATTCTAGGGACGTCTCTGCTCAGTTCACATCAATGCATGATGTTGGTGTGCACCTGTGCGAAAAGGGAACACCCTGCATTCAAAACCTGTGCAATGCACCACAATCTGCTGCAACAAACGTTCGGGAAAGTAAAACAACATATTTTTGCTCCTGCTATGATATATTGGAAAATAAAAAAGCTCTGCACATGAATGCAGCACATTGAGGATGATTTATAAAGGGTCGTTCCCGTGTATAGCTGGCTGAACGCCATTTGCACGGCATTACTGCCCTAGATAGAGCCGAGGAGCATGGGAAATCCTATGCTCCATCTAATGGTTAGTTATACCCAGTGGCGTCACAAAGGGGGTGCGGCCCACACCCAGGTGCCACCATTGGAGGAGTGACACCAAAATGACTGACAGTCATTTTGGTGTTGCCCCCTCTGAAAAGTCGGGCACTCGATCATTGACCGAGAGCCCGACAGTGTTAGGAGAGAGGAGGGGACCCGGCAGCATACCTCATCCCGCCGGGTGAATGTCCCCTCCTCTCTCTACCGGGTGTCACCCGGCCTTGGGACGCCCCTTGTAATACCATGTGAATTACATTCACCTAGATGTCCCAAAGTGTTGCATGCGTCAATGCAAGATACATGCAACAGACATATGAGTCTCATTGAGCGATACAGCCAGGCAGATAGCTTTTCCAGGAGGCCAGCAGTGGCAGCCCACAGATCTCTCAGTACAGGTGTCCTTTGCAATGCAGAATTGGTGAAGAGACAATGATGATAACAGCTGTCCTATCTGTGATGATGACACTTCGGATGCCATTCTTCACGCATCACTGACCCAAAACAATGATTCAGATCAGGAATCCTGACCTCACTTGCTGCATGCTTATTCGAGGTCAGTGACCCCTCAAGTACTGCACACAAAGACAGCCGGCATTTTCGGAAGGACGGCCATATTTCAGTCCAGGTTCCTGTCAAGGTAAATTAAGTGTCCTTATAACCCCTGATTTCATTCACATGACACAATCACATTTTTTTGCCAAATTTCCTTTATTTAAAATTGTGTATTTTTTTCTTTTTACTTCTGATGATGAATTCTCATGGCGTTAGGTTTACATTGGAATCCGACATATTTCTATGTTGTGAGGGGTGTTTTGATCCCTTCAGTGTATGCAGAGTGCATGATGGGGTATCTCAGGTGTCATCTACTGTGCGTTTTAGGTCTATGGTAGTGTGGGAATACAAAGCTGGAGCAACATTAGTTGTATGTTTGGTGATGTCAGGTTGACCTGTGCAGGTTGATGGTGAAGGGCCATCAACACCAATACACCAAATCCCCCCACCCCCCAATTATACTCAGCAGGTCTTCCTCGTCGTTCCTGCCTCCTCTGCCCTCTGCATTCGGCAATTCATTGTGTCACCTGGTGTCAGAGGCTATTGGTAGCACTGGTGTCACCCTATCAGTCATGTGCTCGGGCTTAGCAATTTTCTGCTACACTCAGCACTCTCACATGGGAGAAGAGCATATGCCCCTTCATACACCGAAAGGAGGCAGGAGCTGCAAGGGAGTGCTACCAGGGTAAAAATATAACTGGGGCGGGGACACTTTACAAACACACTGTCATGTTGAACTTATTAGCCAAGGTGACGTTGTCTCTTTATGGCCTCTCTATATGGGCTTTAGTTTGATTTGCTTTTCACTCCATAAAAGTCAATAGGTATGGTAAAGAAGCTATAGGCAGCTTAGAAGTGGGTCACATGCAAGTCAGAATATGGTCAACTGCAGGGCAGAAGAATACCATTTGCAAGCCAGAATACGGTCAGCTACAGGCCAGAAGAACATCAAGTGCAAGGCAAGTCAAAAGAAGGTCAGAAGAAGGTCAGCTGCAGGTCAGAAGGTCAACTTCAAGTCAGATAAATGCCCATTGCATTTCAGAAGTAGAAGGTCAACCTTAACTCAGAAGAACATCAACTGCAGGTCAGAAGAATGCCCACTGCTGGTCAGAAGAATGCCCACTGCTGGTCAAGAGAAGGTGAACTGCAGGTCAGAAGAATGCCCACTGCTGGTCAGAAGAAGGTGAACTGCAGGTCAGAAGAATGCCCACTGCTGGTCAGAAGAATGCCCACTGCAGGTCGGGAGAAGGGGAACTGCAGGTCAGAAGAATGTCCACTGCTGGTCAGGAGAAGGTGAACTGGAGGTCAGAAGAATGTCAACTGTAGATCAGAAGTGGGTCAACTGAAGCTCAAAAGAATGTCAACTTCAAGTCAGATGAATGCCCATTGTATTTAAGAAGAATGTAATTTGCCGTTCAGAAGAAGATCAACTTCAGCTCAGAAGCACCAGTGAAGGAACTCAGAAGTGTCTCAATTTGATTTCAATGGCACAATATATGCACCTGAAAACATGCTGCACCTACACAAGCCCTAACACTTTCATGGCTAATTGAACTGGGAGCTATAAGAGTTTTTTGACTTGAAGGAGTCTTTTGTACACCAAGATTTCCTTAACGTGAACCAGGAGTGACTACAAATGCTTAGTAGTGCTATCAATGGTATCGCCCTCTGTTACTTTTGTTCAAAAGGAAGATTCTAGTTCTCGGTACGTTGATCAAATTTATGATAATAAGAGAAGCATCGGTCATTCACTCAACTGTATTTTAGGTGTCTCGGTACTCAGTCATTGTTTCTTTATATTTCTATAGCCCTTTTTTTCCTGTGGGCTCAAATATCTTCTGTTGAGTAAGATGGTTAGGCAGCCATCTTGGGCGTATCATCCAGGGCCTATTTTAGACAGGAGCCAATAAACCTGCCTTCATGTCTTTGGAGTGTGGGAGAAAACCGGAGTTCCCAGAGGAAACCCACTAAAGCACAGGGAGAACATGCAAACTCCTTGCAGATAGTATCCTGACAAGTACTCAAACCAAGGACCCCAGTGCTGCAAGGCGGAAGTGCTGATCACTAAGCCGCTGTGCTTCCCCATAGCCGGAAGTAAGGAAGGTAGAACAAATGGGTGGTTGCAAACACTATGAGATGCCCTTCCTTTTCCAGAGCTCCTCATCTGAAGGATCCCAAGATCCCTATGTAACTATGACTTTTCGGAAACTTACTGAGAGCTAGCCATGCTGATTGTGCTAGTTAGAAGTAATGCCATGTGCTCCTACACAGTGGGAATTTCACTGGGCTCTGGCAGCATATTGGATATTAGATAAGGGCAGTCACCTTATGATTCCTATCACCTCTCTCCAGTTATTTTCCTCACTTACAACCCAGCACAACCACTTTAATAATGATTTTTGATATTTCAAATGCAGATACTTTATATGAAGTATCATTTTCTGTTTTGCAAGAGCGTCCCTTTCAGTTCCTGTACAGATTTTTCTCCAGATTGGTTTCCCTATATTAAAAAAAAAAGCCCGTTAAATCCATCTGTCATGCAGTGCTTTAAAATTTTGTGGAGAAGAGGAGGTGATGAAATGTTCGTGGATTTACAGAAGGATTACATACAAGTTTGTGAGTCATGGTCACACTGTAGAATGTAATGGGCGCCAGTATTCAGTAAGGACAGGTTATTCGCAGAATACAGTGTACACCGCTACCACACAGAAAAAACTGGAATTCTCATAGACGTGGGCCACATAGTTGTCAGCGTGAGGATCCCAGAGGCAGCGGCTAACTATAGCGATGTCCTCCTGGGCTCTCTCCCCCATTGTCACCAAGCATAGCATCTTGTATCGTGCAGGTAAGACCTTCTTCACCTGAGTTCTGACTTCCTCGCTGATCAGTTTCACTAGAGAGGGGACCTTGGTGTGGTCATACTTCATGTCCCCCATCCGCTCTGGGAGGTAGCTCTCCAGAATATGCTTGATGGATGACAACTGGACCTTCTCAGAGGGCCGAGAGGCAAATGATGGAGGCTGAGAGTGTAAAAGGAACAGAAGCAAAACAGATTAGACCCTAAAAACACTTTACAAGCACAGAAACAATTGCAAAGCACAATAGAGCCTTCTTAAAACAAAAAGAATCTTCACCCACTTCCTTCACAGATCCACAAACAAGCAGTTTTTTCCTCATTCTGAGATACTGGGTGGATCCATGCAAGTCATTTTGTCATGCCCCTTGTTATAGTGTACATACAGAACTGCTGGTTTACTGCACAGATTAAGTCTAATATTGTGGTGGTAGAAACATAATTGAGAGAACCCCCCACCCCCCAGACTGAGGTTCCAACATTTTCTCTACTGACATATATGAATCATACATGTTCTAAATGCAGGTAATGTTCTGACTCATCCTTGCCAGTGTGGGTAAGACTAGACATGTAAGCTGCGGTAAAATTCGGTTCGCATATTTAGTTATTTCGGGATTTGGATCCAAAATTCAATTCGGTTCGGGGTTTCCGATTCGGACGAAATCCGAAATTTCGTTAATTTCGGATGAGTTTACGAACTTTCGTTGCGAATACCAAAGAAAACCATATACAGATATAAATACTTAAGCTGAAGCTCCTAGACCCGAATCGGGAGTCCGAATGTCCGAATACCATTAGGAATCTCCAGAAAGCAAAGGGGTCTGGGAGCCATGGTAAAGCTGAGGCTTCCAGACCCCTTCCAGCTCCTAGACCCGAATGGCTTTCGGGAGTCCGAATGTCCAAATACTATTAGGGATCTCCAGAAAGCAAAGGGGTCTGGGAGCCATAGTAAAGCTGAGGCTTCCAGACCCCTTCCAGCTCCTAGACCCGAATGGCTTTCGGGAGTCCGAATGTCCAAATACTATTAGGGATCTCCAGAAAGCAAAGGGGTCTGGGAGCCATAGTAAAGCTGAGGCTTCCAGACCCCTTCCAGCTCCTAGACCCGAATGGCTTTCGGGAGTCCGAATGTCCAAATACTATTAGGGATCTCCAGAAAGCAAAGGGGTCTGGGAGCCATGGTAAAGCTGAGGCTTCCAAACCACAATGGCATTCTGGAGCTCTCGAATGCTATTCGGAAATTCAGACTCCATTCGGGTCATGGAGCATCAGTTTTAGTATTATGTATATATAAGTAGTATTCTATAATAGGAACGAATATTCGTTGTGGCAACATTGTGACCCATATATACATAAAACTAGGGAGCTCCAGAATGCAATTCGAAAATTTGGTTCTCAATTGCAATTCGGGTCTAGGAACCTCAGCTTTACATATATATACAGTATATGGCTCACAAGTTGCCTTGATGCGTGCAATTTGGATTCAGGCCCATTCGGATGCAATAAACCAAAAACACATCTGATTGGTCAGAAAAGTCACATGTCCGATTCAATTCCGTTTGTGAACGAAATTTGGAGGGGATCCGAAATTCTGAAACGTAATTTCAGATTCAGATACATTCGGATGCATTGGGATTGGGGAATTCGGATATGTCCGAATTTCGGGAAATTCGTACGGATTTTGATTCGGAACGAAACAGATCGTACATGTCTAATTAACACTAATTTAAAAGGATACTTGGCAACGCTGTTCCAGACCTTTATAACAGCAAGCAATAGAGTAATTAATTTCTAAGTACATTCCTTGTAATAGGGTAAGAAACCGAACTTAGTCCTAGATTATATACTGGATCACTAGAGGAGACACAGCGGCACGGCAGACATTGTATTCCTATATTACATTAAGGATCATATAGACCAAGTTGTCCATTACATTATGTCTGAGGATAGACTTCTGTTTATCCCATGCATGTTTTAAGCGGAACACTGCAGATTTATTTCTGCTTTCAGTTCACGTACTGCTAATTGACTTTCACTGCTGGAGGTCTGTTCCAATCATCCACTATTCTTTCAGTAAAATAATGCCTTCTAATGGTACTCTTGAACTTTCCTCCTACTGTTATGATGTCATGCCTCCATATCCTTGATCTCAGATTCGTATTGAAAATACTGCCTTGCTAAACCCCATTCTCACCCTTAAGTGACACCCTCAAAATGAAAAAGTAGAAAAGAAGAGGGTCCCTGTAAAGATGAGATATTATATTTGTCCTATTGCCCACGCTGACGATCTTTGCTACCTTTAAGAGCTATGGTGACCAGAGAATGTTCTTTATCTCATAATAGAAGTCACAAGCACTCGATGATGCGTGCAAGTGGTAGTGACTGTTTGTCACTATGTTGCCTAGAAGAAGGGACCCTATGTGGCCCCAAAACGATGGCTGTATGACGCATGTGACAATTTAATAAAAAGTGCCTATACTTCTTGCACGCATCATCGAGTGCTGGTGACTTCTTTAATGGACTGTATCTGACACGGCGCCGTGTTGTCACTTCGAGGACCAATCTTGCGTTGAGGTCTGTAGGCTGTATGGAGGTGCAGGTGATTTCCTGTTAATGAATGTTCTGACACACTTCCAGGAATGTTGATTTCCCAGTCCCCCACCAGAAACTGTAGCTTCTTCTGCCAACCCCTATATGAATGCAGGAAACAGAGGTGACATAGGAACCAGCAGTAGGAACCACAGTGCTTGGTGGGGAACCATTGATCCAACACTCCCGAAAGCGTGTCTGATGAAGGGGATTCTCCGGGCATTGAACCTCTTAAAGAGAGCAAAGACTGGTGGCACAGGCAGTTGGACAGGCGAGTATACTATCTCTTCTTTACAGGGGATCTGTCTTTTCTACCTTTTTATTTAGAAACGGAATCGATTTCCAATCATTTCTCTTTTTCCCTGAGGTTGTACATATTAAAACGGTAGTAAACCACTTTGTGCTGGGTGGAGTTTTGCCATAATGTGCATACTAACCTGACATTAAAATTACACTAGAATCAGGAGTTAAATCTTAAAAATACATTGAAGCACCTTAACTATTATCATAAATGTATCTTATTTGTGTATCAGTCAGCTGTAGATCCTCCAATCATCTCTGAATTGGTGCTGACACTGCCCTTCCTTCTGGAGGGGGGCTACTCTTGTTCCCCATGGTCCCTGTGTGTGTTGTAAAGTAGTCACCGCTCCAAGCTCGCTCCCATGATAGACTTCAATACAAATCAGTAGAGGTGCACCGAAATTAAAATTTTAAAACCAAAATGAAAAAAGTTGTCAGGCCGAAACCAAAACCGAAAATGTTTTTTTTTCTAACCTTTGCAATTTTTTTTGTTATATATATATATATATATATATATA